ATTACAATAACAATATGGCATTATAGGCCCCTTCGATGCTGCTATATAATCCAGTTCAAAGTAGATAATCTGGATTTTTATATAGCAGTGTAGAAAGGGCCATAGATCCAGACAGGCCCTATATCCCAGGTTTTCTGTTTGTCCCAGTTTAAACCAGAAAACCTGAGATCAGATTCTGGGATATAGGGAAATATATACTATGGAATATAATAATAATAATAATAATAATAATAATATGGCATTATAGGACCCTTCAATGCTGCTATATAATCCAGTTCAAAGCAGATAATCTGGATTTGTATACGGCAGTGTAGATCCAGGGGTCCTTCCAGACAGGCCCTATATTCCAGGATCCGATCCCAGGTTTTCTGTTTATCTCTGATTATCTGGCAGTGCGGACTCCTATAATCCAGTTTAAAGCAGAAACTTAAAAGCTGACCCCCGCTGGCACAGTGGGTTAAACCACTGAGCTGCTGAATTTCCTGACCGAAAGGTCGCAGGTTCGAATCCGGCCAAGCGGCGTGAACTTCCGCTGTTAGCCCCAGCTTCTGCCAACCTAGCCGTTCAAAAACATGCATATGTAAGTAGATAAATAGGTACCACTCTGGCGGGAAGGCAAGGGCGCTCCATGCAGTCATAGGCCAACAGATTGAAAGACAAAGAAGAGAAAATCAGTTAAAAGATTTTATCAAACGTGAAATATATTGTTTTAAAATTTTCTTTTTTAATTCATGGAAAATAGCCTTAATTTGTGCCCAGGATGTCAGTAAAATTCATATTCTCCAGGAGCCCCCATTGGTGGGTTAAACGGCAGAGCTGCTGAACTTGCTGACTGAAAGGTCACCAGTTCGAATCTGTTGAGTGTGGTGAGCTCCCGCTGTTAGCTCCAGCTTCTGCCAACCTAGCAGTTCGAAAACATGCAAATATGAGTAGATCAATAGGTACCACTTAAATGACCTTGGAGGGCCGTATCTGGCCCTCGGGCCATAGTTTGAGGACCCCTGTAGTAAAGCATTTTTCTGTATCAGGCTTCTGCCAACCTAGCAGTTTGAAATGTGAGTTGATCAATAGGTAACGCTTCGGCGGGAATGTAACGGCGCTCCATGCAGCCATGCCGACCATATGTCCGTGGAGGTGTCTATGGACAACGCCGGCTCTTGGGCTTTTAAATATTTATTTTTTTATTTATTTATTTTTGTCGTGTCAGGAGCGACTTGAGAAACTGCAAGTCACTTCTGGTATGAGAGAATTGGCCGTCTGCAAGGACGTTGCCCAGGGGACGCCCGGATGATTTGATGTTTTTATCATCCTTGTGGGAGGCTTCTCTCATGTCCCCGCATGAGGAGCTGGAGTTGATAGAGGGAGCTCATCCGCCTCTCCCCAGATGTTAGTAAAATTCATATTCTCCAGGAGCCCCCATTGGTGGGTTAAACCGCTGAGCTGCTGAATTTGCTGACTGAAAGGTCGCCAGTTCGAATCTGTAGGGTGGGTGAGCTCCCGCTGTTAGCTCCAGTTTCTGCCAACCTAGCAGTTCAAAAACATGCAAATGTGAGTAAATCAATAGGTACCACTACGGCGGGAAGGTAACTGCACTCCATGCAGTCATGCCGGCCAAATAGCATTGGAGGTGTCTATGGAGAACGCTGGCTCTTCGGCTTAGAAATGGAGATGAGCACCACACCCCAGAGTCTGACATGACTGGACTTAATGTCAGGGGACAACCTTTACCTTACCCCTGTTGGTGGGTTAAGCTGCTGAGCTGCTGAACTTGCTGACTGAAAGGTCGCCAGTTCGAATCTGCAGAGTGGGGTGAGCTCCCGCTGTTAGCTCCAGCTTCTGCCAACCTAGCAGTTCGAAAACATGCAAAGGTGAGTAGATCAATAGGTACCACTACGGCGGGAAGGTAACTGCACTCCATGCAGTCATGCCGGCCAAATAGCATTGGAGGTGTCTATGGAGAACGCCGGCTCTTCGGCTTAGAAATGGAGATGAGCACCACACCCCAGAGTCAGACATGACTGGACTTAATGTCAGGGGACAACCTTTACCTTACCCCTGTTGGTGGGTTAAGCCGCTGAGCTGCTGAACTTGCTGACCGAAAGGTCACCAGTTCGAATCTGCAGAGTGTGTCCAGAGGAGGGCGACTAAAATGATCAAGGGTCTGGAGAACAAGCCCTATGAGGAGCGGCTTAGGGAACTGGGCATGTTTAGCCTGAAGAAGAGAAGGCTGAGAGGAGATATGATAGCCATGTATAAATATGTGAGAGGAAGCCACAGGGAGGAGGGAGCAAGCTTGTTTTCTGCTTCCTTGGAGACTAGGACGAAAGGGAACAATGGCTTCAAACTACAAGAGAGGAGATTCCATCTGAACATGAGGAAGAACTTCCTGACTGTGAGAGCCTTTCAGCAGTGGAACTCTCTGCCTCAGAGTGTGGTGGAGGCTCCTTCTTTGGAAACTTTTAAACAGAGGCTGGATGGCCATCTGTCAGGGTGCTTTGAATGCAATATTCCTGCTTCTTGGCAGGGGGTTGGACTGGATGGCCCATGAGGTCTCTTCCAACTCTTGATTCTATGATTCTATGAGTGGGGTGAGCTCCCGCTGTTAGCTCCAGCTTCTGCCAACCTAGCAGTTCGAAAACATGCAAAGGTGAGTAGATCAATAGGTACCACTCCGGTGGGAAGGTAACGGCGCTCCATGCAGTCATGCTGGCCACATGACCAATAACTCTTGCCAACTTGCCATACTCTGATGTCACTTGGACAAATGTTTCTTGGTTTTCATCTGGAAAATGCTGGAGGGTATTATTATTATTATTATTATTATTATTAACTTTATTTGTACCCCGATAGCATCTCCCGAAGGACTCGATGCGGCTTACACAGGCCGAAGCCTCAAAACACAATACAATAGAAAACATAACACAACAATAAACAAAGCAAATCAACAATTAAGCAAAATAACAACAATGACGATACATCAATACATCAAGACACTATTAAAACTGGTTCGGCCGGCGCAATGGGGTACAGGGTAAAAGTGCTGAGATGGCAGGAGGAACGTAGGATTAAAAGTGCGGTGTGCAGCAACATTGGTTGTGCTAAAGTGCTTCAAGGACTTGGGATGGGGGATTCCTAATCTGCGAAGGCACATCGGAACAGCCAAGTTTTTAGGTTCCTTCTGAAAACTGCTAGAGTAGGGGCCTGACGAAGCTCTTTTGGAAGGGCATTCCAAAGTCGGGGGGCCGCCACAGAGAAAGCCCTGTCCCGTGTCCCCACCAAGCGCGCTTGCGACGTGGGTGGGATCACGAGCAGGGCCTCCCCAGATGACCGGAGCGAGCGTGTGGGTTCGTAGATGGAGATGCGGTCACGCAGGTAGGGTGGTCCCAAACCGTTCAGGTCTTTGTAGGTGAGCACCTGCACCTTGAATTGGGCTCGGAAAATAAATGGCAGCCAGTGGAGCTCCTTAAACAGAGGGGTAGACCTCTCTTGATAATGAGCTCCGTTAGCATCCTAGCTGCTGCCCGCTGGACCAATTGAAGTTTCCGAGCCGTCTTCAAGGGCAGCCCCACGTAGAGCGCATTGCAGTAATCCATTCTAGAGGTGACCAAGGCGTGGACCACCCCGGCCAGATCAGCCTTCACGAGGTACGGTCGCAGTTGACGCACAAGTCTCAATTGTGCAAAGGCCCTCCCGGATACCGCCGACACCTGAGCCTCAAGTGTGAGCGAAGAATCCAGGAGGACACCCAAACTGCGGACCTGAGACTTCAGGGGGAGTGTAACCCCGTCCAGCACAGGTAGCCACCCTATACCCCGGTCCGGTTTTCGATCGACCAGGAGGACCTCTGTCTTGTCGGGATTGATCTTCAGCTTGCTCTTCCTCATCCAGATCGACACAGCGGCCAGGCACTCGTCCAGCACCCGAGAGGCCTCCTTGGAATTAGGTGGAAAGGAGTAGTAGAGTTGTGTGTCATCCGCATAAAGATGGCACCTAACTCCAAAACTCCGGATGACCTCTCCCAGCGGTTTCATGTAGATGTTGAAAAGCATGGGAGAAAATAGAGCCTTGCGGGACCCCACAGGTCAAAGGCCAGGGGTCAGAGCAGGCGTCTCCCAGCTTCACCATCTGGGTTCGTCCCTCCAGGAAGGACCGGAGCCACGACAAAACCGTGCCCCCGAGGCCCATCCCAGAGAGACGACCCAGAAGGATACCATGATCGATGGTATCGAAAGCCGCTGAGATGTCCAAGAGAACCAACAGAGTCACACTCCCCCTGTCCAGCTCTCTGCGGAGGTCATCCACCAAGGCGACCAAGGCTGTCTCGGTGCCATGACCAGGCCTGAAACCAGACTGTGACTGATCTAGGTAGTTGGTATCGTCTAAGAAGCTCTGAAGCTGGGAGGCGACCACCCGCTCCAGCACCTTACCCAAGAAAGGGAGGTTGGAGATTGGCCTGTAATTGCTCAGCACCGTGGAGTCAAGGGAAGCCTTTTTGAGGAGTGGACGAACCACAGCCTGTTTCAAACCAGATGGAAAAATCCCTTGCTCCAACGATGCATTGACAATCAATACAAACCAGTCAACCAACCCCTCCCTGGCTGATTTAATGAGCCAAGATGGGCATGGGTCTAGAGGTGAGGTGGTCGCCCTCACAGCCCCAAGAACCTCCTCTACGGTTTCAGGGAGAACAAGCCTAAAAGAATCCCACAAAATTGGACAAGCAGATGCCTCCGTCACCTCTTCAGGCACTGCGATGGAATTGGAGTCGAGCTCAAGGCGTATCTGAGCGACTTTACCTGCAAAATGGTGTGCGAAATCGCGACACCGAGCTGCTGGGTCATCAGTGAGCTCCTCCACCACAGGTGGAAGGGCCCTATCTTAGGACACATTCCCTCTTAATTCAAAGCACGTTTCTTTTACTTTCTTTTTTTTCCTCCCTTGAAGTGGGCCCCACTTGGCATGTCCCCTTTAAGACGAGCCGTGTCGGCCCGTGACGTCAGGCCAGTGCCGCGGTTCTCCTCGTCGCCGCTGCCGCCGCCTCTCGGGCTGTTATTGCAGGCAAGAGAGAGAGAGAGAGAGGGAAAAGGGAGAGGGGAGGGGCCTTGGCTCCGCTTGCCTCGATCTCCCATTGCCTGCTTTTGCCTATAGGAGCCCCTTCTCTCTCTCTCTCTCTCTCGCCACCTCCTTCCTTTCCCTTCCCTCTCCCTCCATGCACAAGCAGCCTGCTACCAGCCAAGGGAGGCACAGCAGCAGGGACTTCCCAGCCAGGAACCCACCAAAGGGGAGAAACGGAGAAGATCCGAAGCCAGCAGAAGCAGCCGGGTGCTGATCCGGCTCAAGCCATGGGGAGGAGGCGGCGCTGAGAGAGCCCCCCAAAGGGGAGCCTCTTGATTGGAGAGCACTGGTCCTCTTTGCAAGACTGGGAGACTCCAGTGGAGGGATCCAGGAGGAAGAGGAGGACCCCCCTCCCCTTGCTCCCATCCCATCAGAGCCCTCCTCCCAGTCTCACTCCACTTTGGAGTTGTGCCCCCTTCTTCCCCACTCTGAACTTCCTTTGGACTTGCCTGCAGCTCTGCCTTTGGGACTTCCATCCTCCTCATCCCTCTTCCTGGGCTACTGTCTCTTTAAGTAATCTCTCCTCATTGAGAGAGAGGCAACTATTTGGGGGAGTTCAAAGCCATGGCTGTGAAAGGGGCAACCACCCACACTGGGGTCTTGCTGGTGACAGCCAACGTGGGGTCCTTGTTTGATGATGTGAGTACTTACTATTATTATTATTATTATTATTAGAAACACAACAGGATGAGTCCACAGCAGACACTCTGCTGGCTGTTGTATCGGATCACAATATTATTATTATTATTATTTATGGGGTCTTGCTGGTGACAGCCAACTTGGGGTCTTTGTTTGATGATGTGAGTACTTGTTATTATTATTATTATTAGAAATACAACAGGATGAGTCCATAGCAGACACTCTGCTGGCTGCTGTATTGGATCATATTATTATTATTATTATTATTATTATTATTATTATTATTGGGTCTTGCTGGTGACAGCCAACGTGGGGTCCTTGTTTGATGATGCTATTATTACTATTATTATTATTATTATTATTATTATTATTATTTTGAAACGCAACAAGATGTATCCACAGCAAACAAGATCACTCTGCTGGCTGTTGTATTGGATCACACGTCGATTATTATTATTATTATTATTATTATTTATGAGGTCTTGCTGGGGACAGCCAACATAGGGTCCTTGTTTGATGATGTGAGTTATTATTATTATTATTATTATTATTTGAAACACATCAGGATGAGTCCACAGCAGACACTCTGCTGGCTGTAGTATCGGATCACAATATTTATTATTATTATTATTATTATTATTATTATTATTTATGGGGTCTTGCTGGTGACAGCCAACTTAGGGTCTTTGTTTGATGATGTGAGTTCATATTATTATTATTATTATTATTATTATTATTATTATTATTTGAAACACAACAAGATGAATCCACAGCAGACACTCTGCTGGCTGTTGTATTGGATCATATTATTATTATTATTATTATTATTATTATTATTATTATTGGGTCTTGCTGGTGACAGTCAACATGGGGTCCTTGTTTGATGATGTGAGTACATATTATTGTTATTATTATTATTAGAAACACAACAAGATGAGTGTGCAGCAGACACTCTGCTGGTTGTTGTATTGGATCACATTATTATTATTATTATTATTATTATTATTATTATTATTATTATTATTATGGGGTCTTGCTAGTGACCGCCTTGTTCGACAATGTATTTATTATTATTATTATTATTATTATTATTATTATTATTATTATTATTATTATTATTCTCTTTTGGGGAATGTGGAATACATGCAGTTTAACAGCCAAGGCTTCATGCTATGGAATGCTAGGAGTTGTAGTTTTGCATGTTGCCTAACCACAACAACCTAAAATGCGACAGTTCTGAGATTCAAACTGCATTCATTAATCCAATGCCCACCCCCCAACCTCGGATACCAAAATCGTGGATACCGAAGTCCTGTAGTATACTATGGTGCAATGTTTATAATCAAATGTATTATTATACTTCTCTTTTTTGGGGTGCATCTACACTGTGGAATGAATGCAGTTCGACAGCCAAGGCTCCATGCTATGGAATGCTAGGAGTTGTAGTTTTGCATGTTGCCTAACCACAACATCCTAAAATGTGGCAGATCTGAGATCCAAATGGCATTCATTAATCCAATGCCCCCCCCAACTGCGGATACCGAAACCCACGGATATACTATACTGTAGTATACTATGGTGCAATGTTTATAATCAAATGTATTATTATACTTCTCTGTTTTGGGGTGCAACTTCACTGTAGAATGAATGCAGTTCGATAGCCACGGCTGCATGCTATGGAATGCTGGGAGTTGTAGTTTTGCATGTTGCCTAACCACAACATCCTAAAATGCGACAGCTCTGAGATCCAAACAGCATTCATTAATCCCCCCCCCCCCCCCCGCAGATACCGAAGATCTGTGGTATACAATAGTGCAATATTTATAATCAAAGTATTATTATTCTTCTCTTTTGGGGTGCATCTACACTGTAGAATGAATGCAGTTCAACAGCCAAGGCTCCATGCTGTAGAATGCTGGGAGTTGTAGTTTTATGTGTTGTCGAAGGCTTTCATGGCCGAATCACTAGGTTGTTATGGGTTTTCCAGGCTGTATGGCCATGTTCCAGAAGCATTCTCTCCTGACGTTTCGCCTGCATCTATGGAGGCATCCTCACAACCTCTGAGGATGCCTGTCATAGATGCAGGCGAAACATCAGGGGAGAATGCTTCTGGAACATGGCCATACAGCCTTGAAAACCCACAACTACTCAGTTATAGTTTTGCTTGTTGCCTAACTCCAACATCCTAAGATGTGATAGCTCTGAGATCCGAACTGCATTCATTAAACCAATGTCCCCCAACTGCGGATACCGGAACCCCGCGGATACCGAAGTCCTTTGGTATACTATGGTGCAATGTTTATAATCAATTATATTATTATACTTCTCTTTTTGGGATGCATCTACACTGTAGAATGAATGCAGTTCAACAACCAAGGCTCCATACTATGGAATGTTGGGAGTTGTAGTTTTGTATGTTGCCTATCTACAACATCCTAAAATGTGACAGCTCTGAGATCCGAACTGTATTCATTAATTCAGTGCCCCAACCGCGGATAGTGAAACCCGCAGATACCGAAGTCCTGTGGTATACGATGATGCAATGTTGAAACTCAAATTATTATTACAATTCTCTTTTTTGGGGTGCATCTACACTGTAGAATGGATGCAATTTAGCCAAGGCTCCATGCTATGGAATGCTGGGAGTTGTAGTTTTGCATGTTGTCTAGATGCGACAGCTCTGAGATCCAAACTGCATAAGAAGCCAGACTTTGAAACCATTCGGCCATTAAATGGAGCCTCCGGTGGCGCAGTGGGTTAAAGCACTGAGCTGCTGAGCTTGTTGATCAAAAGGTCGCAGGTTCGATTCCGGGGAGTGGCGTGAGCTTCCGCTGTCAGCCCTAGCTTCTGCCAACCTAGCAGTTCGAAAACATGCAAATGTGAGTAGATCAATAGGTACCGCTCAGGTGGGAAGGTGGTAACGGCGCTCCATGCAGTCATGCTGGCCACATGACCTTGGAGGTGTCTACGGACAACGCCGGCTCTTCGGCTTAGAAATGGAGATGAGCATCACACCTCAGAGTCAGACATGACTGGACTTAATGTCAGGGGACAACTTTTACCTTTTTAGGCCATTAAATGCTAATCAGGATGGCCAGTGGAAACATTCACACCTACCTCCAACAGACAAGAGTTCTTTCTCCCACCTTGGACCTTCCACAGATACTTCCACATTTTCCTAGTTTCCAACACAACTCACAACTTCTGAGGATGCCTGCCATAGATGTAGGCGAAACGTCAGGAGAGAATGCTTCTGGAGCATGACCATACAACCTGGAAAACTCACAACAACCCAGTGATTCCTGCCATGTAAGCCTTCCACAGTAGATCAAACTGCATTCATTAATTCAGTGCGGATACTGAAACCTGCGGATACTGATGCCCTGGGACATACTATGGTGCAATGTTTACAATCAAAGCTTGTGATGGGAATCAGTTTCCCCCCACACCGCGGATAGTTGAGTCCTTGGGTGCAGGGGCCCGCGGATACAGGGGTCCGGCTGCACTTCCTCAGAATAGAAAAGGAGAGGGAGGTCTGTCTGCTTGTCTATGTCTGGGTGGGCTTTGGATGCGGTCTCCCCCTTGGTCCTAGCGCCCGTCCTATTCTTGGTTGCTTTCCCTAGCTACTTTTCTCTCTCTCTCTCTCTCTTCCTGGGGATTGTCGCCTTGCACGTCAGAGCGGGGATTCCCTTTGAGCCGGGAAAGCGGAAGGCGCTGCTAAGCCTGCTTCGGACGAGCCTCTTTCGCCCTGCCCCTTGGCAAGGAAGGATGGGCAGAGAGGGCGAGAGAAAGAGAGAGAGAGAAAACCCTCCCTTCTCTTTGCTCTCTCCTTCCTTGTTTTATTTTTTTACTTCCCTGAGTGGCAATAAGGGTAGTAGTACTTGCAGAGTGCCTCCCAGCACTATAATCTTATAATCTTTCCATATTTATATTTATATATTTTCTTTTATTGAATGTTTTCTTAGGACTACACCTCCCATAATCCCCAAAATTAACTTTCCCCACCTTTAGGGCTGCATCTACACTGTATTGTTAATTCAGTGTAGTTGCCTTGGCTCAATGCATTGAAATCATGGCACTTGTAGTTTAGCTTTCTCTTACAAAGAGTATTGGTGCTTCACCAAACTACCAATCCCACGATTCCATTGAGCCATTATAGCCAAAGTGGTGTCCAATCCGCATTAATTCTACAGTATAGATGCACCCCAGGACTCTGTTTCATCATCTTTCAACTTTAAGCACTTTTTCCTTGTGTGTATACCTTTAAGTTGCATGTCAGTTTATGACATTTCATAGGTTTTTTTTCTTGTAGGCAGTAATTTATTCAATTTAATGTGTTGCTGAAGGGAAAATATATAATATGGAATAATAATAATAATATTTGTAATACAATAATAATATGGAATTATAGGCCCTTTCAATAGTGCTAGATCCTGGGATATAGAGAAATATATAATATAGAATAATAATAATAATAATAATAATATATTGAATACAATAATAATATAGAATTGTAGGCCCTTTCAATGCTGCTAGATCCTGGGATATAGGGAAATAAATAATATGGAATAATAATAATAATAATAATAATAATAATAATAATAATTTGGTTGTGTCAGGAGCGACTTGAGAAACTGCAAGTCGCTTCTGGTATGAGAGAATTGGCCGTCTGCAAGGACGTTGCCCATGGGATGCCAGGATGATTTGATGTTTTTTATCATCTTTGTGGGAGGCTTCTTTCATGTCCCCGTATGAGGAGCTGGAGCTGATAGAGGGAGCTCATCCGCCTCTCCCAGATTCGAACCTGTGACCTGTCGGTCTTCAGTCCTGCCGGCATAGGGGTTTAATATATAATATGGAATAATAATAATAATAATAATAATAATAATATATGGAATACAATAATAATATAGAATTATAGGCCCTTTCAATGCTGCTAGATCCTGGGATATAGGGAAATATATAATATGGAATAATAATAATAATATATGGAATACAAT